CTTAACAGATTAATCTTCAAAATTGTGTCACCTTGGTCTAGCGGAAATAGGTTAAAATTCGGCAACATAACCCACAGATCGCCATCAAGGCATGCCAGGCCTCTCTAAAGTCACATTTCTGGAGAAACTGGCATCGATGAGGCAAATTCATACATGTTGAGCTCACTTCCATTTCGAATAAAAGTGTTTGGCGAAGAGATTTGAAGGTCGATCCCACCAGAAGACGACGGATTCTTACTCACCACTTTTAGAGAGAAAGTTGACTCAGTATCCAGAGCAGATTGCTATAAAATAATGTGTTCATGTGGTCGCTTTCATGTTGAAGAGACTTGTCGTCTGATTCGACAAAGGGTGGCTGAGCACAAAAGCGCTTGCAAAGGCTGTTGAGTTCGAAAATCGGAACTGGCTGAGCACAAGGCAGAAACTAGATAAGAGATTGAATGGTCTCAAACTTCTTCTTTTGCTGATTATGGCATGTATACGACTAAACGTAAAATTAGAAAGGACATTGAAATAAACCGAATAGGCAATACAATGAATGTAACAAATACCTGCAAGGAGTTAAGTAATAATAACTTATATGGTTTATTGGGGGGACTTTCATTTCGTATCAAAGTACATGAAGAAGAGATTCGTTGGTCGATGTTAAGAAATGAAAGTCCCTACAACGATGTTACCTCAGGGAATTTATCGAAACCCAGTTTCTCTTTGTACATATGATATGGCTTAGTTACCAGGCTCAAGTATAGAGAGGGTGTTAAGCCGCTTGCTAAACGGAGGCGACTCAACTAGTCTTTTCCTTTCTTTCCTTGTCTTGGTGCTAATCACTCTTTCTCTCTCACATGAAGACAAAATGCTCATCAATATAACCAGACGTGTGTCCGACCTTGCGAAATCTGAGTTATGGCTAAAACATGTATATAAAAAGGGGGTGATGGTGGCCATCAAACCTTGACGACCGAGAGCAGACGTTACTTTTCCTGTTATAATTACTTTATTAGGGGGACTTCCATTTCGTATGAAAGGGCATGAAGTATAAATTAGTAGGTTGATCTCACCAGAAAAGGACAGATGAATCGCATTGTACTGCAGCCGTTTGGCTTTTATACCACGTTCATGTTGATGCAGTCCTCCTGACGAGATTAATACGCCACATACAAGTCTAATTTCAGTTGGCACATTTCAAGATTACAGATAATAACTTTTTAGAAAGCAGGGCTAGGTGAAATTCAATAGAAATGTAAGGTGTACTCATATGATTGTGGGAAAATTCAACAACCAGTTCCCTTATCACCTTAAACTAAGTATGGTGAATAAATTTCATACGTATTCTTCTGGTGGTCTCGAAAGCCTACTTATAAAACGTAAAATAAGTAATCTAGTCGATTAAGAGATAGCAAATACAACATTGCTTCATCGACGATCCCACCACAAAATGTGATATGGAAAAATGAATGACTTCCTTGAAATTCCAATATGTTCTGTGGCCCAAGGGCTATTGTGGCAGAGTGACGTGGTGGTTAACGTGTCGAGCATATACGCAACATTACTACTGTCTGGGTTCGAGTCCCGCTAGGAGTGATGATGAGACCAGTTCAGGAGAGGTTGCAACTGCAGTCCACCCAAATCGGGATAAGAATATCTTTTGGGAATGCAAGGCCAAGGGAACTTCAATGGGAAAATTCAACTATCAGTCACTGTATCACCTTAAACGAAACAGGCGAATATACCTCATATATTATAATGTCAACTCATGGCATTATGAGATAAACTTCACTCTCAGTCCTTAAATCACCTGATTCGACCTAGGGCTAATGACACGTTTGTACAGGATTTGCTGATGCTCTCGAAACCTATTAACGTCAAGAATTCACTTTAACGAGTTATGGATCCGCGAATCGGACTCGCTCTAGCCCACAAACCACTTGATAAACTAGTCTATATCAAACGTTGAATAGAATAAGAAGATTTTACAACTAAGCTGAAGATAAGGAAATAAATATATAAATAGTCGACAACCTGAATATTGGCAGTTAGTGTTGGCACTGGTTGTGGCTTTTAGGTGGGTTTAGTGAGAGTAAACGGAACATGACGAATCGGCGAGGAAGAAAAAAAGTCTTGATAGGCCTCGAGTCAGTTTGGGGCAGAAGCGGTGGCGTGGTTACGACGAGAATGTGACGAGGGCAGTTAAGGGGCAGACGACAAGCCATTAAAGCACAGAAATTGCCCATACCGGCTCCTTGTGTGACCCGAGACCGATCCGACCTGTTGCCTCGGGCTCTGTCACTCCCCGAAGCACCGCTCTTCTCGGACTCCGGAGCAGATGCGAACGCTACATGCGGCATCCATGAGCCAACAAGTTGTCAGGTCGTCTTTGAATGGCACCCGCCTTACTTGATCCCCTCTCCCAACTGGACATTGCTTACGTGTGTATCAGACAGGCAATTAAGGACCAGCTCCTCCGGCGCTAAGGCAACCGGTGCAAAAGCTTGTCCTCCGGAAGATCAAGTGTCGCTTCTCGGTCATAGTTGCCGGGACTCGGAAGTATAATCACCTTTACTGGAGAAGTCTAAAATTTACAAATCAACGGAAGGAAAACCAAGATGGATTGTTTTTCTTTTGAAAAATGGCTTTTCGAGACTACCAGCAAATCGGATAGAAGAACTTTATTCATACTATTTGGTTTAAGTTGATGAGGAACTGGTAGCTTACTTTTCCCACAATCACATGACTGAATTTCTCATAGCCTTACTTCCCCCTCAATGAGAATAACTTCTGAAAAACAAGACTATGTGAAAGTTGATTGAAACCAATTATTGTGGGAAAATTCAACTACTAGTCCGCTATCCACTTAAACGAAAATCAGGAAATGTGGTCAATACTTGCCTCTTTTGGCCAGGTTTAGGCTCA